TAAATATCAAGAGGTTAATATCATCTAGAATCACTCCACAGCCTCAATATAGTCAAAGCATCTGTACTCAACAATTAAAGGCACCTGTGAAGGAAAGCAAACTTTTAAAATGGCTTAGCTACCACGAGCCAGTTATTGTGCTAGGTGCTATCAGATGTATGACAGCATTTGAGTTTCAGAACAATCCTGGAAAGTGTATATTATATCTCCATTGCTATACCTACAGACACCAAAGTTCTGAATGAGGCACGTGTGAACAAATGTGAACCTAAAAGAGCCAGTCCTTCAAGATGGATCCCAAGGGGCTAACTGGACCTAGATTTAAAATACAGCAAGCAACCATGTGCTGACTAGAGGTCACACACACGTACTCCGACTTCCCTGAAAACCCACACCTCTCTTCAACTTTGTGACTCCAGAGCTCACCTGAACCAACCAGAGCTCCCCTGCCTGGGCCAATCAGGGATCAGCTGTATCAACCAATCAGAACTCGCTTAGCTCATCATTTGCATAAGCGGACCTGATTGCGGACCTGGGCAGGAACATTTGCCTTAAAATGTGAGGCCTCCTTTTGTTCTCTGGAATGTATCTTCGTTTTACACCAAAAGCTAACACCTTCCCAGTTTGCAAACTGTTCACTGGAATAAACTCTCTTTCCTACAAATTCCTTTTCAGAGAACTTTGTTCACAGAGACATCCTGGTATAGTCGAAATAGAATGGGTTCCAAATGGGCAAATCCCATTAGTATACCAGCTCTTCCATTTAATACTGTTAACTAGTTGGTTCTAGAAATGTTACTTATTGACTATGTATCTGTAAAATGGGGATGATCAAAATATACCTTGCAAAGTTGTGTGTAAAGCACCTAGTACATAACGTCTACGGCACATAGTAGATGCTCAATAAATGGAAACTGTTATTGTTATTGTCAGGTCCACACAGCTAATAATTACTGAGCTAACAATTAAACAGGAACAGTAATTCTTGTCTTATTTCTCTATACTGAGCTGACTTTCAGCCTTGTCTACATACAGCTGCTATTGAATGTTTTGGATGTGTCTATATCCTATTCATACAAATAATAGAATTTACCTTTATTTTTAACCCTAAGAAAGAGAAAAGCAGGCCCTCAAAGCCTCAAAGCTGCCTTGCAACTCACAACTAGGCTGTGGTAGTCCCTGGTTGAACATAAACAATTTCACTGAACACCACCATCAGCCAATGTCATTGTGACCATAATGAATCAATAAAAATGAGACTGCTCATAATCATATCTGATGACAGAAAAAACATGAATATTGTCCAAACAGCCCTCGATCCTAGTATGTAACTGTCATTTCTTTATCCATTAGTTCTAGCCTCACTCCATTCCTCTTGTGTTTTAGGTAAGAATTAAGATACCCTATCATAGAATTATCACCACTTCCTGCCAGCATCCAATCCAGAGCAAGGCCCCACTTCCTTGAACCCTTCCCAAATCACCTACCACAAGCCCAAATTCTATGTCTTTTCTAACCCCTCTTACTGAGACACTTCACAGTTCCCCATGGTTAGCACTATCCTTTGTCACAACAAGCCAATAAGCCCAATATTGTCCAACTACAGGTGTATTCCCAGTGGTCTTTGGCTGGAGAGCATTGCTATCCCTAAAAGATATAGAGGCAATAAATTAAATTCTATTTTTAGGGGTAGATACAACTCCAAGCCAGATTCCCTGCCACTCATTACGTAAATTTATTAAAACAAAAAAGCTGTGATATCCTAAGTTAGCTGAAAAAGCAGAATCAAGGCAGCCTCCTAAAGCAAACAGGTTGGCAATATATCTGACAAGAATTTCTCAAGGACTTTTTCTAAAATTGACCTGTTGCACAGTACTAGTCTGGAATTAATCTATGCAGTTTAAAAGTATGTTAAATTGGCAGCATTCATAGAGATAGCGGGGATAGCATGCAAAAAATGAGTTTCTTCAATGGAGAAAGTTCCCAAGTTTTACTTTGTGAAGGTCCCTTTTCAATTTATTTTCTTCTGAAACTTCTGAAGTATCCCTAAGGTAAGGCCTCTCAAAGAAAGATCTAAAGACCACCACATTGGATTACCTAATAAACAGCTCTTTTCTAAAGCAGATTCTAGACTGCACCACCTCCCTATAGAATCAGAATCTCCAGGACCCTCGAATCTGTATTTTTAACAAATTCCCTCAAATGAAGTTTAAGAAAACTAAATGTAAAGAACCACCAACCCAGAGGCAGAGGAGAGTAAACTATGCAGGCCAATCTGGAGCCATAGCCCAAAAGTGGCTCTTACAAGAATAAAATTTCTTTGAA